ATTGAGTTGGGGTAGTGCAGCTCTAGCGTGCTTGTACCATGAGATGGGTCGCGCCATTGGCCCAGACACATCCAATATTGGTGGATCGTTAGTTATATTACAGGCATTAATGCATTTACATGTAATTATAAATTACGTTACATAGAAGTTACACTTAATATTAAGAAATATTAACTTACAAAATAGTTGTGGGCATGGGAGCGGCTTCCACATATCCGTCCTGAGATAGTACTATCTCATCAAGTAGCAGCCGCAGATATACCCGATGTTTTTCACGTGCCCATGGGGGCTGATGCTGAGATTGTTGTAGAGGTACCTGCTGCTGTGGGAGAGATGCCTGACTATCATGATCTATTACCTAGGGGTTCGTTGGGGTGCAGGTGTGTAACAATGAAATAATAGTTGAGCATAGTAATGTATATTTTCAATACTATGAGGGAAATGATTTATTCTCTACATGGCAGGTGGAATGTGCGTATGACATCGTATATACACAGCCCCAGACATGTCCTGAGACATTATAGAGATCAACTAGATCAGATGCATGATGAGCAGGTTCAATTTGTTCACCAACATAGATTATATTATAATGTCAAACATTTGTAGACTTACATGTAAATTGAGTATTTGTTTTGCTGTAGATTGTATGGATGCCATATATTACAGAGGTCATCGCAGACTTACCAGCATATTGCACTGTTGGGAGACTTATGGATGGCGCTTGCACCACTGATTTGTTTTGCATTAGTTGAGTGGCATTTTCTTGATTGTGTCATGCGCCAGTTCTATTTTAGACAGGGTATCCCTCAGCCATGCGACATTGGGACTGCTCTTCATGCTACTGATCGATGCGGCAGAGGTGGTTATGATTAGAGTATTGTACATCAATCTTTTGTAGATGTGTGGACCTACCGAAGAGAGCATCTTATCACGGGGGAGGCACATACATTTGTGACCGATATAAGTTATCGTGCGTACATGGTTTGGTATGGTCGTATCACTCGACGGTTGATCTGACTTTCAATACATACTCCACCTATTGGGTTCCAGCCTATGGGTGGCATAGTCGAGATATTGGTAAGTAATACCTAAGTTCATTTGTCGTTATAATCATGATTACTAATACAAAATTAATGTTATCATAATGTATGTGCTTTTTACATTTACAGACTTGTTCAGATTAACTAGATCGCACAAGATGACCTTGATGATGGTACGGATGCAGCACATAGACAGGCACTGCAGGTCATCGAGCCTCTATATATACCACATACTGCATCGCATGCTCCGCTCGATGTACCTACGCGTCCTCATGATATTGTTATACGACGGCAGAGACCTCCATGTCACCGACATGATATTCTGGTGGATACCGGTGTTGAAACAGTACCAGAGTCGAGTGTAGCAGAGTCTACAACAGGACCTAGTGGACCTTAAGATCCACATACACCATCCGTTGTACGTGCTGAGACACCATCCTCTTTGAGTCCCTACCATACATTAGCAGGACCTACTAGACCTCACCATCCACATATATCAGCACATACTACACCCCATTCACCACCATTGACGGAGTCCTCCATACCATATGAGTACCCCGCAAGGCATCTTTTCCCCATGGCAGGACCAAGCACATACACATCAGATGGTTCATGAGTCACATTGCCGAGCCACCCTATCTTTCACGATGCATTGATGACGTCACCTCCAATAGATGTTCAGATTTCACAAACAATAGATGAGGTCACGTAGGGTCATGGTATAGGACTTGCATCGACTCTAGAAGTTGTACATAGGTCACAGTACCGTGCTACAACTCCACTTGCCCATTTAATTTCATTAGTTCGAGGTAGAGGTCGAGCTCGAGGTAAAGGTGGAAGATTGGGAGGTGTGAGAGGCTGCAGTGGTGGACAAGGTGATAGAGGTAGAGGCAGAGGCAGAGGTGGAGATAGTAGTCCAACTGGAGATCCGAATTCAAAGGTGATTGATGGCGAGCTGTCACAGTTAGAAGATAAGTGTCAAATGACTCAGGAAGAAGCTGTCTTGTGGCACTTAGTGTTGTCTTGTTTTATCATATTTTGACATTTATTTTCACATGTATATTATAGAATTTTGCACTGTATTGTTATTTGTTGCGATATGTAGTGTTTGTGATATTGTGGTTGGGTGTTGTTGGTGGTAGTTGTGGTTGGGTGTTTGTGGTGGTAGTTGTGGTTGGGTGTTGGTGTTATGATTGTGTTGTTGTGATTATTGTTGTCTGATATTGTGCATATAGGACAAACTTTTATTTTGGTATGACAGAGTTTTAAGGGATATTCTGTTGAATTTTTTTAAAATTCATTATGTTTCTATATATTATATGCATTATTATGTTTAGTGTTGTTCTCCACTTCCTTGCTTAAGATAAAACACAGAACAACATACGGTACATTATATTTGAGCAATGCATAATAACAATATAGATAAACTACTACAACATAGTAGTACATGACATATAAACATGATTATAACAAATGACATAGATTCCTATTATAAAACATCTGGAGGATAAACCAACATATGCGTAAATATGCTTTACTAATCAAGAAATCTTCATCATGGGATAGTTTATTCGTTCAACATTTCAATATCAGAAACACTTCCTCCTTCTCTAGACAACTGTAGACACAGATGTGCTTCTTCAACCAAACCTTCTGCAGCACGATCACTTGCAATTCGGCAGAGGTTGTACCGAGTTTGCCGTCTTTCCATACGATTGTTTTCAGCACAAATATGCCACAATGCACCTTCCAACTATTCTGGTGTTTGAATAGGCATATTAATGGCAACTTGTCGCGGCCTCCGTATATTACAAATGCGTAAATCTTCACTAAGAACTTCTCTCTCATTCAAACGATATTGCCATTCCTCCCTTATTCTATTCACTGACCTTTGTGAGAAACGTAAACGAGGATTTAGAGGATAGGAAAATTCATCCTATAACGTCCAATAATATCCCATAGCTTCAAATACCGAAGAGTTGTAAGCAGGCAATTTTCTATTGCATCGGACTGAAAATGATGCGAATGCTAGCATTGCAAAGTTGAACTCAATGTCTTATCTGAACACTTTGGATATTTGCATATGTTTAATAGAGAGGCTTTGATTACCTGAGAAGATTTTGCATAACAATTGGTCCTCCGTCCTCAATTGGTTGGTTGAAAGGCTCTCGGTTAGAAAACATGGTTGACTTCGGTTGGTCGGAAGGCTATGTGTTACAAAACAGATTGAGTCTCAATGATTGTGACTTCTATACATTGTTGCAAATGAAGGAGGAGAAGATGAAAAAGATTCTGAAACCATCGTTTTCCCAAAACTAAAGATCATGTGTTTGGACCATCTGGAAATGCTTAGAAGCTTTTGATCCAACTCTGATATTTTGTTCCCCAAACAGGTGTGCTTCTCTTTCTTGAATATATATCCTAAATTACTTTTACACAACACTGATATGTTTTACTTTGTACACATCACTCCTCAGAAATGAACTTGTTTGTGAGAAAGCAAGAATAAAACTTCCTCCCTCCAGCCCAAGTTGACTCTTCGATTCTTATGACTAATTACTATATATGATAGCTGCCTTAGAAATGTGAATTTGTTTGTTATAAAATGGTACTACAAATATGTGACTTGTAGTAGATATTACATAGCTTGTTGTGAAAAAAAAATAGTCAGGTATGTCACCTAACTTTTTTTATGTTGATCGTAAAATGTGGTGGTGACTAAGTTCTTCGAAAAAAAGAATTCATATAAATATTTAACAATTAAAATGTTGTTAACAGTGGTGGAGGCACACATGAGGCAGGGGTCCGGGCCCACCGTGAATTTTTATTTTTGTTTTTTTTACCTATGTATGTTTTGTGTACTTTTTTTTTAATATTTTCAATTGTGTTCACCTAGATGACTTTAAATAAATAAAATTGGGTTCATTGGGAGAACAAATCTCTTGGAGTCAATAATAATAAAAAAAAAAATTGGATTTAAAAAAAAAAAGGTCTAGCCCACTTCATTTTCAAGTTCTCCCCAAAAGCACTAAAACAAACAAAGCACCAATAATAACCATTAAATTTTGGTATTGATATTACCAATTATGACTTTGACATTAATATTTTGATCACATCTCTTATATAATTAACCTCACTTTTTGTAAAGGGTTATAATTAACCTCTTTTTAGTTATTTTTTTATTTGCATAGATATTGTGTACTTACTTTTGGCCCATCTATGCTTAATCAATCTTTAAGTATCAAATACGATGTAAAAAATAAAAATATATCACTTTATTTTTACTTATTAGATGACAAATAGTTAGAGAGTGGTCACCTTATAACATATTTCTGACTTTGCCACTAGTTATTAAGAAAAATTTTCAAAACACCAAACAGTACTAAAATAAATGATTGATAGTTTTCTTTTCTTTTTTCTTTTTTCTTTTTTCGTTTTATGATTGGAAAGACTATATTGATGATACAATTAATTAAAGGAAAGGGAAATATTAACACATAAGTTATAATCTTACAAATATTAGTGCCCTTCAATAGGACATCATAGGAGAAACAAGTTTAACACAAACAACCATGATAGTATGTGGTTCAAAAGAAAAATATGATAATTAATATAGCACGACTATAGAATAGGATTTATGTAGTAGACTCCAAAAAGTTTAGACAACCCTTTGTTGGGTTAAAATTTTTAATCAAAATATGTCTTTAGCATCCAATTATTGTTTTAGAATTAGATTCCAATCATATTAAAGAGGATTGTTTAGTTCCCAATGAAAGTGGTTTACATTTTTAAATTGATGAGAATACTTTTCTTTAATCTTATTGGCATTCCTTAAAAGTTTATATTTTTGCCAAAGCTCAAATCATTTACTTCAACATATTTTTGATGAATATTAAAGATACTAAAAAAAAAGGAGGAACATTAGAGGGCTTTGTACAAGTGAGGAAAAAAGTTTAGAAGATGGTGAGTGAAAAATAAATAAATTAAAAGACTTATTTTCAAATATCATTTGTCAAAATTTAATTGAAGAATGCTGCCTTAGAGAGCAATTTGTCCGCAACAAATACAGGGTTTGAGATAGATTGATGTTTTATTGAATGAAGTTCCTTTTTTGCTGTGCTACGTGTAGTTAAGTGTTATTGGACATACATAGGGTTTATCATGATCACTTAATTACTTGAAAACTTCATATAATCGTAGGTTTTTCTGCCTAATTTGGAGAAACTGCGCGTCGAAAGAATTAGTATGGTGCACGTAGTAGACTACCAAATGGAAGGTGGGTCCTTCCACAAACCAAGAGGTTTGGATGTGAGGAATTGTGAAAAGGTTTTCAATGTTGTTGCACCTGGTCAGCTAAAACTATTTCCAAATATCCAAAGCCTTCATGTCAAAGATTGTCGCGAACTGGAAGCAGTGTTCAACTTCGAGGGGTTAACAGCTCGGAGAGATCATGCAAAAGTCACACTCGGTCAATTAGAGTCATTGAACTTCTCTAACTTACCTAAGTTAATGCATGTATGGAGGATGATTCCCAAAGAACTTCAAGGTTTTCAGAATTTGAAATCAATTATTATCTGGGAATGTGACAGCTTGAGATACCTATTTTCACCTACTATGGCAAAATTGCTTGGGAATCTACAAATCCTATGGGTTCAGGAGTGCAAGATGATAGAAGAAATTATTGACACGGAAGATCATTTCAAGATCAAGATTTTTGACGAGATAGTGACTACATAGAAAGAAGAACAAATGATAGGGGACAGAATTTTGTTTCCACAATTGAAAGAGATATCGCTTGAAAATTTAGAAACCCTCAATTGTTTTTGCTCTGGAAACTGTGAATTTCAATTTTTGTCATTAAATGAATTGGTAATCAACAACTGTCCAAACATGAAGACTTTCTGCTCTGGACCACTAAGCCCAGAAAAGCTTGGAGAAGGAAATGTATCCATTGGCAGACAAGGATTTTGGATGGGTGATCTTAACACAACTATACAAAATGCAAGAGAATAGTTTGCCTTTATTGTTTACAATTTCTTCCTTTTATTTCTCACTTCCTCCTGATAAGTTAAAGAAAATAGTTATCTATGCACTATTGCCCAGTTTCATATTCCAAGGCTAAACTATTTCTCTACTTTAAGTCATCATTTTCCCTCTTGTCATCTAGCCTCAACGATGATGATGAAGAAGAAAAGGATAAATATGATGATGAAGAAGAAGAGGATGAAGATGATGGCCAGCAAATAAAGAAGAAGCAGAAGATGACGACGACGACGACAAGCTAATAGAAGGAAAGATATCATTATGCCAATGAGTATGAGAATTGATAAGATGAAGAAGAAACAAATAAGCCCGCTTTGAGGTTCTCTCTCTCTCTCTCTCTCACCCACCCACCCACACGGTTGTAGATCAGTAGTTGAAAGATATACAATTTAATTATGTAACTTTTGTTTGAGAAATGCCAAGATTTGACAGTAAGAGAAGTCCTTGTTATTGCCATAGATCGGAGTTTAATACATATTTCGTTGTATTGGGACCGACAAGTTAGTCTATGCTAAATTGGGTTTTCTGGTAACATAATTTTTTGCATTCTATGTAACCTTGTTTTTGCAGATGACCTATAGTAAGGACAACAAGAAGTTTCCTTTTCCTCATGGAACTTATTTTGGGATTGTACTGGAGGTTCTATTTGGGAGGTGGGCCTTTAGTGGCAAAGTTGTTCTATTATCACCTAAGCATCGGCATCAAGGTTTCGAGGCAGAAATGTACGTTAATAAAGCTATGTACATTAGGCGCTTCTAGATTCCACGGCGACTAGAGTCTCTAGTATTGTGCCTCCCTTCTTTATTGTGCCGCGCTTTCAGTTTCTCTTAGCTCATATCTGACTACTCTTTCATTACCTTTTAGTGCAACTTTTTTTATTATAATAGTAGATTATTGTTTATTATAATTGTGATAATACGATTTATTTATCGAAAAAAGATCTCAGCCCTTTCAGAAGAAGCTCGCTGTCAACAAATAAACTATTCCAAAATCAAAATTCAGGTACGTGTTAGATTGATTCCAGGATTCAAACCATTGTAAGAGCTAACACTAACTTTTCAACAGCTGGAACTTTGTAATAATGTAGCCACCCCTCATCTCAATCAAAATGGTTATAATAAAACGAAATTACAAGTCTATGTCCATTGTAGTCAGTGATTTTAAGTTCTGTCCGACCAGTCTATCATGTCATGGTTGAGGTTTTTTTTTTCAATCTAAAGGAACATATATATATATATATTTTTGTTTCAGGATATACAGGTTTATGCCGACTATTCCTTTGAACTTTGAACCAGTCACCGTAATTTAAAAACATGTCGCCAGAGGAATAAAGTTAGTTAGCCCTTAGAGAGTATGAAAAATATCAAACTTGAGACCTCTTGCTTTTAAGAAGGTAAACTTGACCACTGAACTATCTCTAAGAGTTATAGGAGCCCAATTAATGTTGCCAAAAAGGAACTAATATACACTTTCGAAAGTGCCACTGTGGAGGAGATTTCAATTTATTATCGAAAGTTGGGACTGTTAGGATATTCACATGAAATTTTCAAACCTGTGAGAAACAAAAATAGAGAAAACACACGCCAAAGAAAAAATAATCACACGCACAAGACAATATTTACGTGGTTCGAAAATTTGCCCACATCCACAAAGCTGTAGAGATTTCACTATTATCAAGAAGGAACACAGAGTGGCCGCATGGAGTCAATCAAACCCTAATCACCCAAAATAACTGGTTTTATATGTCCTGCACCAAGCTACAATGCGGGCCCAAAAAATTTTCCCAGGGGTCTGCTCCATGGACTAAATCTCAAATAATTTTTTATTAAAAATCACGCAACATTATTTTGGATCGGATTATCATCCGAATCAACGCAAAAAAATAAACTCTACAACAGCCTAACAGAGACAAAAGAATTATAAGAGCTTGAATGACTTCGGAGATTAACAAGAAAATGGATCGAGAGTATCGTTATCCCCTTAGTATGGTCCATATGAAGAATATTACTGAAGCGATGGTTGATAGGGAGACATTGAAATAAAGGAGTCTGTTGCTATTTGAAATAACATTTCCTTGTTAAACATGATCCATCCCCATTATTACGTTTGTAGCGGAATAGAGAGAGATACATACTGAATTTTCTCTTAGGATTATACGCGTAGGTGCAAGATAGACACTACCTAGACGGGACGAATAAATTAATTCAACCACCACAACCCAAAATACCTATAAAGATTGATGTATTTAGTTTATCAATTTGTTGATGAACACTTCATCATATAAGGCGATCTCAACCAAGGCACCAAACTTAACCAAATAACTATGTATGATGTTGATATTCAATAAGCATTGAATCAAACATGTAGTGCACGTGTGCATCAAATTATAAGTGTGTATAATAATTAATACGAATAAACATGAATAATTTATTGATGCAGAAATCCTCCTTGAAAAAAATCGTGGAAAACCACTCGGAGTTTACCAACCTAATTCACTTTCTGAATGTTAGTTTACAAGTACTTGAAACTTATACTTCAACTAATACTATGGTCAAGCGCTTAGTTTCTTCAATAAACCTCTCCACTGAAAGTCCCTTTTCAAGGTCTTGGATAGTTTCACTTGAACTCTCTACCTCTTATGACGCACCCTAGAATTTCGATATGCACACTTGCCAATGGCTTTGGTTCAACCAAGCAAACTCTTCTTCTCTAAAGAGATCTGATAAGAATCACTAGATAGTAGTCTTTGAATTTAGAGATTTAGGATTGTGGCTCAAACCCTCAAGTATAAGATAGATTGAATTTACTCTCAAGAGGTTTACCCTAAGTTGGGAAGACATCTCTCAATTTATAAGCTTAGAATAGGATTTTTCTTAGGCTCCAAGAAAATATAAATTCTATAATGACTGCTTGAACAGTGGGAAGACTGTGACCACTGTATTGAAAAAAAAAAAAAATTCAAACTAGATCTGGACCACTCAAACGATCATGAGACCGCTTGAGCGGCCCTCGATTAATTATACAATGGTGACTGTTATTGCAATATATAACATTAAAAACCAACTCACTTTTGATTTTCTCACATGTGAAGGAATTGTAACACTTCTTTTTTGAGTCCTTTTTTTTTCTCTACCAGAATTGTTTGTATTATAATTGAATCAATTTTAATACATACATCACATTACAAAAAAAAAAAAAAAAACTATTCGAATTGAACTATATCACCCGTGCCTGAAGGAACAATGTAATTCAAAAAATAATCGAATATTGATTGTGGACTCAAAATAATCAACACTAAAAATGACAACAATAAGCTAATAATTTAAATTACATCATTAACACACCACACTTTGCACACATGCTCAACAAAGTTTTTACAAATATACAGATTCTCTTGAAAACAAATTTCAATAGAGAGATGGAGAAATCCTAACTTTAATAATCAAAATGTCAGAAATTTAAACTAAAAAAAGCATAATATTCATATCTTTGAAACTAAATACATAATTAGAACTAACAACAGTGCTAAAAAATATTTATTTAAAAATCAACTTGTAGGGTGAATAACAAAATCATCAATGTTTAATCAAAACATCTTTTTTGTTCTTTTAAAAAATTTGGACAAAAATTTTCCTAAAAATAGGACCCCAATAAAATATCAACCTATAATGCTAATTACACAATCTAAAGATGACATAGAGGCTTAGTATCAACCAATAATAGAAAAAAAACCAACCAGATTCAACCACCAAAAAAATTAATTCTAAATCCAAACAAAAATTTTTGATAGTAAGAAAACATAGCAAAATAAAGGCAAAATAACTGAACGCGACAATACCCAACTTTTCAACGAAAAATAGATGTGATAAAGCACGTCAGCTACCTGCCAATAAAATAAAATATATAAACAAATACAAAATTAAAAAGAGGATTAACTAAACAACTTGCTTTTAGGCAATCATAAAATTAATGAGTACCTAAATATCTCAAAACACATGAAAATACTTCCTACCAAGAAAGTCTCAAACATCAAGATACTATATTTTATTAACGATGCAAGCTAAGGAAAAAAAAGTACTTATACCAACAATCGTGAATTGTCCTAACTATCGTGAATTGAAAGTAAAAATTGAACTGCATCAATCATTAAAAATGGCAATGAAGCAAAAGGGGCTCACAATAATGTACAAGAACTACAAAATTTCTCTTGTAAAGTGCATTGTTCTTTGCCGTAAATCCTAAACGGTGGTCCTATTAAAGTGTGCAGTGTCGAATTTTTTAATTTCGCAAAAACGAAAACACCAAATCCTTTCAAGTAAGTGGATACGTTATTTATTTCGACCAAAGAAGTCATAATTACGTGCATTTGGACCGTTGAGAAATGGTGTGATGAGCGGAACAATGTGTAGGGGATAAAGATTTATACCTTCTCAAGATTAAGAAATCAATACGACACCACCGTGCTCATTTGACCCGCAAATAATGTAAAAATATCAATTATTCATCTCAATAACAGTATGCTAATAAAAGCAAAACTCGCAAGGGTATATAAAAAATTCAACAATAATTAGTACCAAAGTTACCAAATTTTCAATTCTTTGTTGATCCAATTAATTTTGCCATACTAATCATAAAAAAAAAGACTATAATTCAACAACACCAAAGCAACTGAAAAAAAAATCATAGTAGACTTA